CACTCTCGCCTTAGGCTGGCAGTCAGAGGGAAGTACTTGGAGGCCAAGTTCTGGCATCCAAGAGCATCACCCTTCGTTGTCTGTGCTCTACCCTCTGCCTCCCACCACCATGCTCTCCACTCATTTTCTGTCTGCACAGAACATGACTAAGCCAAGAAGTATTCAAGGCAGTTGGGTCCATTTTGCATTTCTGCTGACTGTATCAAGCCGCAGGCCATGGCTGGTGGCCTCATTGGCTTCAGTCCTCTGGCATGTCCTTAGGAAGCGTGTCTTGATGCTGTAGCTGGCCCATCTCTTGGGATGGGGCTGGGTGAAGGGCTTCTGCCATCCTGGTCAGCCACTGCCACCACCAGTGGGCTTGCATTGGGAAGACATGGATGACAAAGGATGAAGCCACCCGCTCATATGTGATTCGGGACAACAAGCCTGAGAAATGTCACCTGAATTTGCACATCCAGAAAAAGTGAGTTTGCGATGCAAACATGGCTCTGGGCTACCTCTGCAAAAGTGGAATGGAAAGGTCTGATTTACTTCTCTCCCCAGGAAAAAAAAACAACCACCAAAAAAAGTCAAAGAGGCACTCTCGCCTTAGGCTGGCAGTCAGAGGGAAGTACTTGGAGGCCAAGTTCTGGCATCCAAGAGCATCCTGTGGACACAGAACCAGTGAGCCATGAGTAATTAGTGATTCAGTGGTGGTCATGCCAGTAAAGATGCCAATAACTCAGTAGAATATACACCAAGTTTTTCAGTGACTTGCCTGCACGCCTCAGGCTTCATGTTTCTTTAACTTAACTTCAAGTTTCTTTAACTTAAAAGATTATTTCCTCATGCTACGGGCACAGCCAGTTTTTCAGTGACTTGCCTGCACGCCTCATGCTTCATGTTTCTTTAACTTCAAGTTTCTCTAACTTAAAACATTATTTCCTCATGCTATGAGCACAATCCACATCACTGAGCTGCTGTGTCATTTCTTGCTTTGCTTCTTCCTCACTTCTCCAGGTGGAGCTTCCCAAGGCCTGGGATGATGGCAATCAATGCTCACAAGGTCCTGGAAGGTTTATCGGGGCTGAGGGAACAAAGTTGGCACGGATTTACATGCCAGAAAGAAGTAGGAGAATCATGGAAGCAGGAGTTCAGGAGCAATTTAACATCATGGACAAGGCAAAAACCCATGGTCTGGAGTGAAAGAGGGAGAAGTGTGATTAAAAGATTGGAAATAAAAAGGAGGAATTAAAAGTAGGAGCGAAAGGCAATTATGAATGGAGCCCCACTGAAGCTTTGCTACAGCTCTTCATCACTTTCATAAACGCTGGAGAAAAAGGGATAGAGGGAGAATAAAAATCACTACTAAGTAGAAAAGAATTATAATTTTTCATGAACAGTGTAGGGCTGTAAATTAGATACTACTTTGCAAGAGAGAGACTACTGAACTTAGGGTAGATTATTCCGTGAAAACATCAGTTCAATTCTCAGTAGTCATAAAAAAAAGCAAACAGGATTACAGGAATTATTAGGAAAGGAACAGAGGAAAAAACAATACAAAAACTCAATATGCCATTAGTTAAATTCTTGGTTCATCTTTATGTGTTAGCAACTGTGAAAGACTGCAGAATAACTAGAAAATATTTTAGCCCTGGGCCACAGTGTTCATGGAGGGTAGGAAACAGCTTGTCTACAAGGAAAGAATAACCAACCTGATATTCTTCAGATAGGACAAAATCATGACAAGTACAGAGAAGTTGAATTCAGGATGATAACCCACTCTTTGTCACAATACAGGGTACAGTAGAACAGCTCCAGTGCAATCTCTTTGGTTGAAATGGTCCCCCCAATCTTGTCTTCCCTCCTGATCACTGTCTCCCCCAGCATCCTTGTAACTTCCTCCATACAACCCTTCATTCTGGTTCTTCTCTCCAGGCTGGAGAAGAGAAGCCTCCAGGGAAGACCTTAGAGCCCCTTCCAGTCCCTAAAGGGGGCTACAGGAGAGATGGGGAGGGAGTGAAGCCATAGGACAAGGGGTAATGGGTTTAAACTGAAAGAGGGGAGATTGAGATAATAGGAAGAAATTATTTGCTGTGAGGGTGGTGAGAAACTGGAAGAGGTTGCCCAGAGAAGCTGTGGCTGCCCCATCCCTGGAGGGGTTCAAGGCCAGGCTGGATGGGGCTTGGAGCAACCTGGTCTGGTGGGAGGTGTCCCTGCCCATGGCAGGGGGGTTGGAACTCAATGATCTTTAAGGTCCCTTCCAACCCAAATTATTCTATGATTCTATGATTATATTTAACCAGATCATGGAGACTTCATGGAAGACTCAATTCAATCCAGTTTAGCAAGACTGGAAGCCCGGCAGATGACAAGTTCATAATCTCAATTTGTACCTGACAACATAAATAAATAAAGAAAGAATTTTCCTCTTTAGCATGATGCGGCTTCCTCAAGGTATGGGAACAACCGAGCTGTAACTCATCAGAGAGTCAGGAAAATATCCCACCCCCAAAATACAGCGTTATAACCAGTATAAAAACTGTAGATTAGAAGTGGATTGAGAGAGAAACCAACCCCAAATAGCAACACTTCTATGGTAAAAAGTAATAGAGGAAACCCTGCTAATATCAGCCACTGGAAACGACTGGAACGGAATTCTCTGTTGCAGATCTAATAGAAGGTGCCAGGAATCCAGAAAGATCTCTTCTCTTCCACATTAAGAATCAGCCCAGAACAACAACTTGACATCTTGCTTACAGAAAGACTCAAACTCCATTAAAGGCTACTTAATTCAGTGACGGAATTGCTAAACACAATTACCCAGCCCGCGTTTTGCAGCAGGTCAGACCATTATAATAATTATAAATAATTATAATAGCTTCTTTTGATGCAGAAAGGTCTCTTAAAGCTCAAAATTGTTCAGATTGAATGATACTTTATAACAGAGGAAAAGTCTTAAGCGTGAAGGACACCTTAAACAGGAAGACATCGACTACAAAAGTTGTTCTGAGTTGGTTTGTTGTTGGGTTTTCTTCTATAGAAAGTCATTTCCAAAGGAAAGAGAAGTTGTTAACCACAAGTTTGAGCAGATTAGATGAGTCTATGACTTGTGGGTGTCAACAAAGAAGAGAAAAAAATCAACCTAAATTCATTTGTCCTTTCCAAAAAGCATCCGTTACTTTTCCTGTGCGTAACCACTACTAAATCAGCCCCTGCCTTGACTGCCATTTCAGCTGTTTGGGGTATTGTAGCAGCTTGAAATTGTCAGGGAAAACGTTCAGGCAATACTGGAATAATTACAAACAAATTCAAAACTAAAACAATAACAAAGAAAAAATCTGTGTTTAATTAAATGGCCAATGTCTATCATTTAATAGGGGGGTTGATTAGTAACACCCATCAATTTAATCACAGAAAACATATTAAAAAATAAAGGTGAATTAGGCAGCTAATTTCAGAGAAATTGGTACCTAATGTTCAAGCTTGATCATAGAATCACAGAATGGTTAGAGTTGGAAGGGACCTTCAAGATCATCGAGTTCGGATCAACTGAGCATCATTGATGCTCAGTCAATGCAAAAATGGAAACATATTTTAACTTTTTTTTTCTCCAATATGATTTTCTCCCATTTTGAGATTCACGACTGGAAAAATAAACCAGAACATATCATTCTGGATTAATTTCCTACCGGTACATTTCACCTTTGAAGCTGGAACTGGCTCCTCCTGGACTGAACGGTTCTTTCAGCTGGGACAAGCTACATATCGTCTTCTCTGATCGCCCAGCTTGACTCATTTTATCTCAGGTTTTCAAACACTGCAAGAATCTGTAAAAGAAATGGAAAAGATACAATTAATCTGCTAAAGAAAAGGTAATTTAGAATTAGAACTATAGACATTCAGTCAGCAAACCTAGGTAACCATTCCAGTTAATGGCACCTCAGAGCAAGGCTGGAGAGACTGGGAAAGAAATCCAGGGCTTCCAGTCTTTGTGTTAACAACTTCAAGGGGTCTGAACCTGTTGTTAGGAACCTGTTATTGCTCTGCCTGTTGAACTAGAAGAGATTTTAAATGTGAAAATCGTTTTCAATTGAGTTGTAGCAGGGATTCGATTACAATATTAATTTACATTTTTTGCCATGAACAAGCTGTTTTCTGGAAGTTAAAAACCCACGGCTTCCTGGGAACACCAAGAGAGGATGATGTTTATGTATTCAAAAAGCAGAGCTCAGAGGAAAGAGTTTCTTTTAAACAATTGAGATGGTTGTGTTTTACACCAATAGGTAACTAGTGTGCCACAGTTTATCAGTTTGTCAATTTTGCATTCAAGTCCTATCCAGGTCCTTGCACTGAGAAAATCTGTGAAAATCATAGAATTCTATGATTCTGTACAAGCAGAAGCCCACAGACTATGAACCAACCACTCTCATGTCACACTTTCATAAGGTTTGGTCCAAGAACGTGTAAATCAGAGAGTCTTTCCCTTGACTTACTGGGGTTTGGGTCACGCAGCTACAGTGCTTTAGTTAGTTTCAGTTTTTTTGAAGTTAGTCCTTCACCAAAGGAGATAAATGTAACAGCTCCTCTTTTTTCTGAGCACGCTCTGAAAAATGTGATGGTAAGAATCATTGTCACGTCAGGCAGGCAAAATCCTCACGATGTTTTTCTCTTCTCTGCCCTTTCATTCAGCTGCTCTTACCATGTCCCACCGTCGTTGGTCGAGAGAGGGATTTATCACCCTCATCACTCACTGGCTGTGATTTCCTGGCCGTGGCAATGCAGGCTCCCTCTGAGAAAGGCAGCAGAGATGGGAGCAGAGGCAACCTTGCAAGGGGTTAATGCTGTAATCTTTTTTTTTTTTTTTTCCTAGCCTGTTTATAATCCCAACAGTAGGCCAGTAACGGCAGAGGGTGGATCTAAAAAAGTACCGGAGGGGCTCTGTGTGTGTGTGTGTGTATGTGTGTGTGTGGATGTGGGTGCACACGTGTGAGTGTGTATGTGCAGAAGTGCTTTGCTTTTCCCCAACAGCCTCCTGTGCCCCCCCGGAATAAATCTCCACAGGGCTCTGTGTGTCGGCTGCTCCTGACGAAGAGTTCCAAGAGCTTCCTCCCACCCCTCCTGTTCTTCCCGAAGATTTCGTCCAGGAATGTGTTTGTTTACGGAAAGAATGGGCAGATAGTTACCAAACCCACCCTCTTCCTCCTCAAAGCCAACCTGTGGAGCCCCAAGAATGGAAATAGTTGATGCCAGCTTCCTCGGGAACGCTACCAATATCACTGCTTTCCTCTGCGACATCATCTTGGAAAATGACACTTTTTACTGCGTGGACGACCCACCTTACCCTTCTAAAGGTATGTATGTATAGAAAAATAGATTATTTTTTATCCAGGCAGGTTTAGCTCTAAGCTGGCAGCAGAGGTGCTATGGAAAGAAACAGCTACACAAGGCTTTTTTTTTTTTTCCTGTGAGGGAGTACAAAATCAGCTGCTTGCTGATAATTTAGGATGAGAAACGAGCAGGAAAGACTTCAGTGTGTGCTGGTTTTTTTTATGTTAAAAATCTAAGTAGAGCAAAACTTGGATATAATGGAAAACTAGACCAGTAGCACTGTCGGACATAAAATGCAAAAAGTCCCTCTGCTAAGGACTTGGAGAAACATGATTTTTTGCTCTTTGGGCAATGGAGTTACCTCATCTGATACCATGTATGAAAGTGATTAAATATGAAATTATAGCACTCTCAGGCTGAAATATATATATACATATCCAGGTATTAAAATGTTTTTGGTTGCTGTGTGGTGTTTCTTACTTCTGCCTGAAGGAGGAACTCCCCGGGTGCACAACCTGGTTGTGAGAAGTTGCATTTTGCTCTCCAAATGTTCCTTGTATTGCAGGGATGGTACTGTAACGCTGTGTAAGTCAGGTGGAGCAGAATAAGTTTCAGAATTTCAGAACCTCCTCTGATTTTTGCACTGGTGTAAAGGCATACACCTCAGTAAAACAACGCAGGAAGGCTTTTACCTTTAGATTAAAGGATGGAACATCTACTACTAGTCTACAGGCTGTATAACTTGATTTTTCCCTGGTTACAATTTCCAGATATGCATCAGATAATTCGGATCCTGCTGTACTGTTTGATATTTCTGCTCAGCGTTTTGGGGAACATCCTGGTCATTACGGTGCTGATAAGGAACAAGCGGATGAGGACGGTCACCAACACCTTCCTGCTGTCGCTGGCGGTCAGCGACCTGATGCTCTGTGTCTTCTGCATGCCCTTCACCCTCATCCCCAACCTGCTGAAAGACTTCATTTTCGGCAGTGCTGTCTGCAAAACTGCCACTTATTTCATGGGTAAGTCTTGGAAGTTTGTACTCATTTTTGAAGAGCTGGCTAACGAGATACGGGAGAAGTTGGCTAAAGGGCTGGTGGTTTCCACCTGCAACTGAACGGTTGCCAAAATCATGAAGAAACAACTTTATGGTGCAAATCTCCATGACTCTGGTTTCCTCAGCCTGGTCTGGAAAACTCAGAGGCACCTCTTTAATGTTAACGATGACACACAGAAGTGTCGGGTTTGGATCAGGTGAGGAATCTGGTGTCTGAGCAAGTTTTAAGGAGGAACCCAACACATGTGCTTCCTTCCCCATCACCAGGACAGAATTGACCCACAGGTTTTTAGTAGCGGTGATATAAGAGAAAAAAAAATGAATTGGCCAAAGCAGGTGTCATTTGCGGAGTCGGAAATTAGAGCCTGGTGTGCTCAGAGCTCACCAGGAGACCACAAAATGCAGATACAGGTTTTGGAGGCTGGCTTTAAGAAGCCCCCACATTTACACACCTTCCCACAGCCCCTTTTTGTTGCAGAGCCAGAATTTCAAAATTCCTGGATTACGTGTGTCTGTGTAAGAGATTTTGTCTCACTTCCAATACTTCCTGTGCGTTTGCTTGTTTCTCACTTCCAATACTTCCTGTGCGTTTGCTTATTTCTGAAAAGGAAAAAAACCAACCAAACAAAAAACAACCCAAAGGAGAACATTATGTAAAGTTTTTGCTGCCTTGGGAGACCCTCAGTTGCTGGGAGAAACCTCAGGTCCCCTTTCAACCCCGTGCCCTTGGGCACTTTGATGTGGTGTGAAAGTACACGCCGAAAGCGTGCGAATGGGAAATCAACATCTTTTTGTAGATAAAGCCAATAAATCTAAAGGGCATGTTTAAACAATTATAATGAATGCCATAAAAAACTACCATGGCATCGTCATCTTCCTCTTGTTTCACTCTGCGTAAATTACTTCATGAGAGGGAACCAGGCAAATGTTTTCAAACACGAAGTTTTTCATTACGAAGGTGTTTTATTTTAAGACTCAGAATGTGGATATTTCCCATTAGCAATTCAGGTTCACAGGGGCTTCTACTGACAGACAGACCCTGGCTCCCATTGTATCCCCTGTGCTCTTAATCTCTCACTTTAAGACTTAGTTTAAATTACAGATAATTTACGCAAAACAAGCTGCAAAGATATTGGCATTTTATATTTTGACCTGCGTTAGAAGATTTACAGAAATTAAGTAAAAGCTCATTCACTGATAGAAAAAAATCTGTGAAAAACTGAAGAAGAAATACCTGTGATCTTTCAGTGATAAACTGGAGCACCTCGGTGACAGAAACGCAGCCCACTCGGTTATATTTTATAATATCTGAGCAGGAGAAGTTCAGGACAAAGATTCTGCTTCATTTCTCCTGCTTTGCAACTCCATTAGCACCTAATCAAAAAAGTGGTAACACCTTTAATTGTCTTGAACGAGAAAACCAGACCGCCAGTCAAGCAAGACACTTATATAAATTAAAACAATAGAAGAGGGAATGTGAACTTCTGTGTTAAAAGTGTCATTAACAGGATAATAATCCTGTTGATTCCAAGTGCTTGTTTGAATTTTGGTGGGATAACTCAAGTGTACAAACCACAGCAGCAAAGAGAAGAATTAGGAGGAAAAGTGTCTTCTTTCCCCGTTGTCAGAATTGGTTGGTTTGACAGAATGAATCTTTTCTCTTGGATTTCTGGAGCTAGAGAAGTCCAGAGCAGGAACTTCAGTCTGGAGACTTGGTCCTTTGCTCACACACTCTTTGTTGGCTTAATCAGTGTGATATTTATATATATTTTAGCTTATAAATAGGCGGCTGTATTTTTAATTGTATATAATTGTATATAAATTAGATGCAGTGCTAAGGGACATGGTGTAGGGGAGGACTTTGTAGAGTAGGGTAGATGGTTGGACTCGATGATCCCAAGGGTCTCTTCCAACCTAGATGATTCTATGATTCTATATGTATACAAGAAGTTAGCAAGAATATTTGAAAAGAGTATGAACATTTAAAGGAAGGAATTTAAACATTTAAATCTTTTCCTTTATGTGATATATATATATATATCTCTAGGTGTCTCTGTAAGCGTGTCTACATTCAACCTGGTGGCCATATCTCTGGAGAGATACAGTGCCATTTGCAAACCGCTGCAGTCCCGGGTCTGGCAGACAAAATCTCACGCCTTGAAAGTGATTGCTGCGACCTGGTGTGTCTCCTTCACCATCATGTCACCCTACCCCATCTACAGCAAGCTGGTCCCTTTCACCAAGTACAACAACACCACGGCAAACATGTGCCGGCTCCTGTGGCCGAGCGATGTCATTCAGCAGTCCTGGTAAGACATAACCCCTTCCTTAGCAAAGGTGTAATTATCTGGTGGAAAACAGGATTTCATGGTAGCCTTAAGCCTATTGAAAATCAAGTATTAACCTTCAGCAAACATTTACGCTGCCGTCGTGCTTAGTTGAGAAGTGGGGAGAAAAAAAAAAAAAAAGTAATATTTTAAAGCTGCTTACATTTTGACACTTGTGTGGCTTTTCTCCCTTTGTCATAGGGATGATACCCAACATGACAATAACTCTCACTCTATGGTCTGCTAAGCCTCTGCTGTCACTGCTAAGGAAGCATCTGTCACTCCTCAATGCTGCTTTCACTCACTCATACGTAAATTTGAATATTTTCAGAGAAATCCTCAATGAATCTTTGAAAAACCTGGACACGGTCCATCCGTGTGCAGAATATGAAAACTTGCAGAGATTGCAAATTTCCTTCCTGAGAACCCAACCCTTTTGGTGGTCATTTAGAGAGAGCAGGGGCAGAGGGGTGAGGGGGGAGACAGTGCTCCGGGTCCCACATGTGCAGGCAGAGTGAGTAAATAGTGACCCTATCAAGCAGCAACGTTACTGAGCTACAGAATCATAGAATGGTTAGAGTTGGAAGAGACCTTAAAGATCATCGAGTTCCAGCCCCCCTGCCATGGGCAGGGACACCTCCCACCAGACCAGGTTGCTCCAAGCCCCATCCAGCCTGGCCTTGAACCCCTCCAGGGATGGGGCAGCCACAGCTTCTCTGGGCAACCTGGTCCAGTGTCTCACCTCTAAGGTCTCCCTGGAGCCTTCTCTTCTCCAGGCTGAACACCCCCAACTCTCTCAGCCTGTCCTCACAGCAGAGGTGCTCCAGCCCCCTGAGCATCTTCATGGCCCCCCTCTGGATCTCTCAGCCTGTCCTCACAGCAGAGGTGCTCCAGCCCCTCTGAGCATCTTTGTGGCCCCACTCTGGGCCCACCGCAACAGGTCCATGTCCTTCCTGTGCTGAGGAACGATACGGCCCCCACCAAGTCTCACCTGAAGAAAAAGGAATTTTTCTGCTTTTGTGCTGTTCCCCGGTCTCAGTTTGTCTTTTGGTTCTTTAGGTACACTTTCCTGCTGCTCATACTCTTTCTTATACCTGGGATTATAATGATGGTTGCTTATGGTCTAATTTCTTTGGAACTCTACAGAGGAATAAAATTTGATGCCAGCCAGAAAAAATCTTCACGAGGTAACAATACATTTAATTGTTTGAGTTGGAGTTTTCAAAGTTGGTGTTAAAGATACGAGCAGGCATCTTGAGGCTACTAAACGCAAAATTTTGTATTTGCAAAAGTAATCTTTATGGTCAGGTACAGTCATGAACCTACCAGATGCAGTTGTTGAATGAACTTGTTCCATTATTCACTACCAATTAATTCCTCACCTATGGCTTGTTTGCAAAGGCAGGGTATGTTAAATTTCTAATTTGCTTATTATAGAAATAGCAATGGTGGTTTTTTTCTGGCCATGGATGAGGAACATTTCTGTAAAAAGCTGCAACCATAAAAATTGCCAAATTCAGATTGATATAATCTTGAAAATAATCTTCAATAAATACTTAATAAAACATTGCTCGTACATCTTTTGCTCCAGCTGGTATAGAGTCAGGACGTTTCAGATTGATATAATCTTTAAAATAATCTTCAATAAATACTTAATAAAACATTGCTCGTACATCTTTTTCTCCAGCTAGTATAGAGTCAGGACATATATTGGGACATGGCAGGTACAGAGCAGCTGGGACACAACTGACTCAGAATTAAGACAGTGCTTTCTTTGCAGCAGTTGTTCAGCCATGAATTAGAATCATAGAATAATTTGGGTTGGAAGGGACCATAAAGACCATGGAGTTCCAACCCCGCTGCCATGGGCAGGGACACCTCCCACCAGACCAGGTTGCTCAAAGCCCCATCCAGCCTGGCCTTGAACCCCTCCAGGGATGGGGCAGCCACAGCTTCTCTGGGCAACCTCTACCAGTGTCTCACCACCCTCACAGGAAAGAATTTCTTCCTAATATCTCATCTAAATCTCCCCTCTTTCAGTTTAAAACCATTACCCCTTGTCCTATGGCTCTACTCACTCATAAAGAGTCCCTCCCCAGTTATGTTATTTATTTAGATTTTAATTCCCTACTTAATTTTGTATTTTGAATCACTGCTCAGAGATATTTTGCCAACTATTTAAGTACTGATTTGTATGCACAGAAAGAAAAATAAGTACCTGCAGCGCCAAGTACGAGGATGGAGATGGATGCTACCTCAACAAAACCAAGAGGAGGAAGAAAATGCCGTTGCAGCAGCTCTCCGTCACCAGCCACAGCAAAATAGAGAGGGTGAGAAGCAGCAGCTCCTCTGCCAACTTGGTGGCCAAGAAGCTGGTCATCCGCATGCTGATGGTGATAGTGGTTTTGTTTTTCCTCTGCTGGACTCCCATCTTCAGCGTCAACGCCTGGCGCGCCTTCGACACCGCCTCGGCCGACCAGCGTCTCTCGGGGGCCCCCATCTCCTTCATCCACTTGTTGTCCTACACTTCGGCCTGCGTCAACCCCATCATCTACTGCTTCATGAACAAGCGCTTCCGGGCGGGTTTCCTCGCCACTTTCACCTGCTGCGTGAAGCAAAAGCCCCCCGTCATCCGGGGAGAGGGTGGTGAGGAAGAGGAGGGGAAGACAACACGGGCTTCGCTCTCCAAGTGTTCCTACACACACATGATCGCATCCGCTCCCCCCTGAGCTGCGTCAGAAGAAGCCCCTTTCCGAGGCCTAACAGAAATTCAAATATTTATCATCTTGGTCTTGGCAAGCGACTGTGGCATCAGGAGAACATGATTTAGTTCTGAGGTAATGAAACTCTTCAGCTGGCGGTGAAGCCAGCGAGGATTTTATGGGGGAGGGATGCTATCGCTGCCTGAGCTTTATATCACTTTCCCTTCCAAAGTACAAAGGAGGAAGAGGGCTCTTTGAAGATAAGGGACTTTATAAAAAGCCTTAGAAGGTGCTCGATTTGTCATAAATCCTCCTGTAAAAATTGGCATCCTTCGCATCAACAGGAGGGCTCTTTGAAGATAAGGGACTTTATAAAAAGCCTTAGAAGGTGCTCGATTTGTCATAAATCCTCCTGTAAAAAATCGACGTCCTTCTCATCAACAGTTTTCCCTCAGTTTTCAGCCACAGTTCTGAGCATCTCTTAAAATTTCCAGGCCACGAATAGTCTCTCCTCAGACATGCATACAAGTATTGCAGTCTTCACTTCCATATCTACGCCTCGTAATCAAAACCTTTCCGTGACGTTCGTAGCGTTTTTTCCACATTGTTTTTGCTGAGCTGATACATGCCAAGATCATTTTGGTGTCACAGTCAATGAACAGAAGAATTTTGGGGTGGGGAGAATGGGCTTGTCTATGTGAAAATGATGCTTTTAAGTAAAGTGATTTCTTTTTTTTAATAAAATAAAGATAAAAATTGATGACTTTGCGGGTGGAATGCGTTCTTCACTTAGGCAATAACCTAAGTTCACATAATTTCATGTATTTTTGGAATAAACCCCATAGAACAAGCACCAAGAAGCGGCAGGGTCTCAGATGAGCCCCAAAGGCTCATGTGGAAATTATCATACTGGGAAAAACAGGGATAGTTGCTTGGGATACAGGCAGAGAGGTGATTTTACAAAAGACACTGGACTGAAGACGTAGGACGATGGCCATAGCAATAATATACTCCACAAACACATTCACAAATCACTCCTGTTGTGGTAACACCTACATGGAAACAGAAGCCATTGGATATAGAAAGGTAGAAACAGCACAAATGACAAGAAAAGGCTGAAAGGCTGTCAGGAAATGCAAGTTTTTCTAAACTTTGGAGCAACTGTTTCTCCAACTCCATGTATTTGTTAACAGACTCATCATAGAAAAAAATAATCTGTAAATATGAGTAGTTGGGGGCTGACCTGCTGGAGAGCAGCTCTGAGGAAAAAGACCTGGGAGTCCTGGTGGACAACAGGATGACCACGAACAACAAGAGCAATGTGCCCTTGTGGCCAAGAAGGCCAATGGCATCCTGGGGGGCATCAGGAAGAGCGTGGACAGCAGGTCAAGAAAGGTCATCCTCCCCTTCTACTCTGTCCTGGGGAGGCCCCATCTGGAGCACTGGGTCCAGTTCTGGACTCCCCAGTTCCAGAAGGACAGGGAACTGCTGGAGAGGGGACAGCAGAGGGCTACAAAGATGATGAGGGGCCTGGAGCATCTCCCTTACGAGGAAAGGCTGAGGGACTTGGGTCTTATTAGTCTGGAGAAGAGAAGGCTGAGGGGGGATCTGATCAACACCTACAAATACTTCAAGGGTGGGTGTCAGGAGGATGGGGCCAGTCTTTTTTCAGTGGTGCCCAGGGACAGGACAAGAGGGAACAGGCACAAACTTGAACATAAGAAGTTCCATCTCAACATGAGGAGGAACTTCTTTCCTGTGAGGGTGGCAGAGCCCTGGAAGAGGCTGCCCAGAGAGGTGGTGGAGTCTCCTTCTCTGGAGACATTCAAAACCCACCTGGACACGTTCCTGTGCAACCTGCTCTGGGGGGACCTGCTCTGGCAGGGGGTTGGAGGAGATGATCTCCAGAGGCCCCTTCCAAGCCGATATCATTCTGTGATTCCTCAGGAAGGAGCCTTCCAACCCCGTATCATTCTGTGATTCCTCAGGAAGGAACTCTGTCTCTTTGCTGTGCAGCGCAGGGGTGAGGGAGGGTGCTCAGGTCATGCCCTTTGCTCTGTGGAGCTCGGCAGAAGTTATTCATTTATTTTGTTTTAGGAAAATATCCTGTTGGAGACGCTTCTATCGTCGAGCTGAGTCAATGTCATTTAAAAAGCTTGTTATGAGATGAGATTAAATTTGAGCACAGCGTGGAATGTAGATGTGGATATTAAATACAACCACTCTCAAGGCTTTTCATCAGGAAAATCTGATCTCTTTGCAGAACAGTTTTAAATTGGAAATAAAGTTTGAGATCCAGGCACCCGGACTCATGTCCTGCGCTGTTATTGCCTAAAAGGGTTTAACCGTACAACTTAGCACCAACTTTGGCTGTTATTTTCTTCTCATTTTTTTTTTGCATCCAGCTTGTCCACAGACAGGAAATTAAAAAAAAAATAATATATCTAAACACTATTTATGCACAATCCATAGAAACAATGTTTTGCCTGCCACGTTAATAAAGTAGCACCCTCCCTGGAACGGTGCTGAGACTCCTGACATCGATCTGACCTTTAGCAAGTACCCGCCGAATTAAATTAGGGGATTTAATTCATAACAATGAAATGAAATTTTTACTTCACTTAAGAGTGCAGGATGAGACCCTTGTGTTGAAACGCAAGGGACAAACCCAGCTGCTTTTGGGTTTACGTGGAACAGCGAGAGCAGAAAAAAAATATAAAATATATATATATATATATATGTGTGACATATTTCCTACCATTTGAAAGTCTGGCTTTATCATAGGATGTGGTTTAAAAATTTTTGTTTACGTAAAAAAAATAAATCTCAACAGCGAGAGCAGAAAAAAAAAAAAAAATATATATATAGATATTTGTGATGTATTTCATACCGTTTGAAAGTCTGGCTTTATCAGAGGATGTGGTTTAAAAATTTTTGTTTAAGAAAAAAAATAAATCACGTTTTAATAGTATAAAGGATATGAATATTGCTCTGTACAGCAAGACAGCCTGTTTCATAGCTCTGCGTGTGCTTCAAAAAGCAAATTCCTTTCTGCAGGTGTAGATTCTCCAGTAGCTTTAATGCCCACGTAGGGGCACCTGCACCGTTCCCCCGCTCCCACCGATTTAGGCTGGGAATAGTGGATTCAAAGGAAAGGCAAAAAGCTATTTTCAACAATGCCTTAATCAGATCACACCCCCCCCCACCGTGGGCTCGGGGACCTGTGGCTGAAAGGAGTGGAGTCTCTGATTGATTCCCCGCTTGGAACTCTGGGGGAGCACAATTTGGAGGTGATGAAGCCAGAGAGGCAGGAGAGGAAGGTCTTGATGGAGCCGTGGACAATCAGGGAAGGGTTAGAATTGGGCCAGAAAGGACACTTTGCCATTCGCCCAGGGCTCGTTCCGTGCACGTGTCCTTCTTCCCCTCCATTGCCCTCTACACACCTTTTGTTTTTAAAAAAAAACCCCACCCAATTGTTAACACTTTGACCAAGTTCCTGAGGTCACAAGCCTTAAGCCAGATTCCAGGAACAAGTAGGAATTAAGTTTTAAAAATCTAACCTTCAATCCAGTCATTTTGTCACCTTCTGCCCTGATCTCCCTGGAGAGGAAATTTCAGCCTTTCTGCGACCTGCACGCACTTTAAAGACCTTTTTCCCTGATGTGTGCGTTGCAGAAATCATTCCTGGCTCTGAATGTTGCCTTTCCTTTGCTAAAGAGCTGTAGAATCCTCCCAGCACTTTTAATTCACGTACTGCCATTAATGCAAATGCACCCTCAACGATTAATATGAGTGGAATAAACTGATACCAAAATAAAATAAACTATGAAGTCTCCTTATTTGACCATCATTAATTTGTAGGGGTTGGGGGAAGAAATCCTATCCTAATAGCCTACTTTTTTTTTTTCTATTTTTCCCTCTTACACAGATTTATTTTTCTTCTGAGATTTACTCTCCCAGACAGCACTCTCACCTTCATTTCCCCCTGCCACCTCAGCCTGACAGACACATGAGACATTACTCCAAGCCATGTATCCTGCCCACAACACCACAGATCTGCAGTCGCCTCCTACAACCCTACCTCTGAGTTCACACATTGTCCCTCTTGGAAAGCTCAACGACAGCATGTACCAGTCCATAAAATAGAACCATGGTGCTAAGTAACGTTCAGGTCTTTCCTTCATACTTCTGCTGATATTACCTCTGCTGTGAGGACAGGCTGAAAGAGCTGGGGTTCTTCAACCTGGAGAGAAAAGAAGGCTCCAGGGAGACCTTAGAGCCCCTTCCAGTCCCTAAAGGGGCTCAAGGAGAGATGGGGAGGGACTCTTGATCAGGGAGTGGAGCCATAGGATGAGGGGGAATGGTTTTAAACTGAAAGAGGGGAGATTTAGATGAGATCTTAGGAAGAAATTCTTTGCTGTGAGGGTGGTGAGACACTGGAACAGGTTGCCCAGAGAAGCTGTGGTTGCCCCATCCCTGGAGGGGTTCAAGGCCAGGCTGGATGGGGCTTTGAACAACCTGGTCTGGTGGGAGGTGTCCCTGCCCATGGCAGGGGGTTGGAACTCGATGACCTTTAAGGTCTCTTCCAACTCTGACCATTCTATGATTCTACTTGCAACCTCTATTATTTGGGCATGCTTTAAGGCAGATGCTTAAAATAATGCTAAATACAGCAGATGGTGAGGGGTCAATGAAGGACTGTTGCCAGGGCAAGATGTAGGTGCTCTGAATGAAAAGTGGCACCTGGACTGGGAACTGCAGCCGCTAAAGGTTTACACCCCCCCTTACATGAGTTGTGGCCTCTTTTCTGATGACACCAAGCCCTTCTTGGCAAGGTGGTAAGACTGTCTGGAGTCCTGCTGCTCCTCCGTCCCCACCTGCTTCTCCATTCTCTAGTGGTCCTCCATCCCCACCTTTCCTCCATTCCCTCACGGTCCTCCATCCCCTCGTTCTCCTCCATCCCCACCTTTCCTCCATTCACCACCCGTCTTATAAAAAGATCCATTTCTACCTTTACCTTTTTATTTGTGCCTCCTGCAATGCTTGTTAGACTGCCTTGGGTGCCTACCAAAGAGAAAAAAAGATGCAAAGGAAATGTTAATGAATTGCAAAGCTCCTGCTTCTCTCACTTAATGGCCAATCACCCCTGCCAGGAGTTGTTTGTCAGCATCTCTACGGGTAATTATGGCATGAAGAGTTTTCTTCAGCTTCCGCTCCTAGTCGTGTCCATAAAAGCACTAATTTTGAGCTGGCGAGATGTC